AACATAAGGAAAATCCATTAATCTCACTATTATCACTATTATTCAAATTTACACACCAACCACTAAAGCCATTGATGATGAAATTGAAGAATTCTACCAACTTCTGCAGTCTGATATTGATCAAACATGCAATCAAGATAGATTGATAATTATTGATGATTGGAATGTGAAAAGTTGGAAAATATGGCCTTGGTGATAGAAATGATGCTGGAGTTCATGTGGTAGAATTTTGTGTTTATTCAAAATACTTTTTTCAACAACATAAATAATGGCTGTTCTTGTAGATCTCATTAGGATACTCAGGAATCAAATCGACTACACATCAGTGGGAAGAGGTTATGGAGAAGAAGTGTCATAGCCATCAGTCAGAGTAAGGCTAGGGGCTGACTGTGGAGCAGACCATCAACTGCTCATAAACAAGTTCAGGCTAAAGCTGAAGAAAGTTTAAAACAAGTCCATGGGAGCTAAAATAGACCTTTGCATATATCTCACCTGATTTTAGGGGCCATCTCAAGAGAGATTTGATGCATTCGAAATTAATGACCAAAGACTGGAGGAGTTGTGGGATGACACCAATCAAGAGCATCATACATGAAAAAAGCAAAAGGTGATTAAAAAGGCCAGAAAGAAAAAAAAGACAAAATGGATGTCATGAGAGACTCTGAAACTTGCTTTTAAATGTAGAAAAGCTAAGGCAACTGTAAGAAATGAAGAAGTTAAAGAGCTGATCAGAGATTTTCAAAGGGCAGTTCAAGAAGACAGAGTAAAGTATTATAATGAAATGTGCAAAAGATCTAGAGTCCAAACACTAAAAGGAAAGAACATGCTCAGTATTTCTGAAGCTGAAAGAACTGAAGGAAAAATCCAAGCCTCAGATTGTAATAGTAAAGGATTCTGTGGGCAAAATAAATGAGGCAGTCATTCGAACAGAACAAGAGAATACTGAATGGTTTGAAATCAGGAAATGAGTGTGCCAGGGTTGTATTCTTTCACCATACTTAATCTGTATACTGAGGACAAATAATCCAAGAAGTTGGATTATGTGAAGAAGAATGTGGCATCAGGATTGAAGGAAGACTCTTTAACAACCTGTTATATGCATCCAATATCACTTTGCTTGCTGAAAGGGAAGAGGACATAAAATGCTTCCGTGAAAATCAAAGACCACAGCCTTCAGTATGGATTGCACCTTAATGTAAAGATAACAAAAATCCTCACAACTGGACCAAGAAGTAAAGTGACAAATGGAGAAAAGACTGAAGTTGTCAAAGACTTCCTTTTGCTTGTATCCACAGTCAACAGTCATGGAAGGTGTACTGAAGAAATCAAATGATGTATTCATTCGGCCTATCTGTTGCACAAGTGTTCAAGAGCAAAGAGATCCGTTTGAGGACTAAGGTGCAACTGACCCAAGCCATGGTATTTTTAGTTTCTTCATAAGCATATGAAAGTTGAACAATAAATAAGGAAGACTGTAGAAGATTTGGTGCATTTGAGTTCTGGTGTTGAAGAAGAATATTGAAAGTACCAGGGATCGTCAGAAGAACAAATCCAAACTGTGTTGGAAGAATTGTATCCAGAATGCTCCTTTGAGACCAGGATGTCTTTCATACTTCAGACATGCTATCAGGAGGGACCAGTCCCTGGAGAAGGATACCATGCTTGGTAAATGGAGGGTCAGTGAAAAAGAGCGAGGCCCCCTATGAGATGGATTGGCATAGTGGCAGCAGCAGTGGGCTCAGGGGTAATAACAATTGTGAGGATGGCAGAAGACCAGGCAGTGTTTTGGTCTGTTGTGCACAGGGTCACTGTAAGTTACAACAGATTTGATGGCACCTGACAACAAAAACAATATGTGCAAAATATTGAATGAGGTAGGAAGCATCAAAAGAAGATGGAAGGAATATACAGTCACTGTACCAAAAAGAATTGGTTGATGCATCTGATCAAGAACCAGTGATATTGAAGGAAGAGATCCAGGCTGCACTAAAGGATCTGACAGAACACAGACTGAAATCTTTCATCACATTAATGCAGGACTAGAGGCACTCACTCATCTATGCCAAAAAATTTAGAAGACAACTACCTGGCCAGCCAATTAGAGGAGTTCCAGATTTGTGCCCATTCCAAAGAAAACGGATCTAACAGGATATGGAAATCTTCAAACAATATATTTACTATAACACACAGGTAAATTTTTGCTAAAGATAATTCAAAACTGGTTACAGCAGTATATTGACAGGGAGTTTCCATAAGAGGATGTGGATCCAGGAATATCATTGCTGACATCAGGTGACTCTTGGTTGAAAGCAGAGGATACCAGAAAGATGTTTACTTGCTTTATTGACTACATAAAGACATTCGACTGCATGAATCCTAACAAGCTACGTATAACACTGGGAAAAACGGGAGTTCCTAAATGGTTTAAAATCGGGAAAGCTGGCTGCCAGGGTTTTGTCCTTTCACCGTATTTATTCAGTCTTTATGTGGAACAGATAATGTGAGAAGCGACTGTATGAAGAAGTCGTGGCATCAGGAATAGAGTAAAACTCATGAACAACCTGTCATATGCAAATGACATAACCTTGCCTGCTGGAAGCAAAAAAAACCCTTGAAATACTTACTGACGAAGATTAAAGATTTTAGCCTTCCATATGAATTGTACCTAAATGTATAGAAAGCAAAAATCCACACAACTGGGCCCGTAAATAACATCATGATAAGCAAAGAAGAAAAGAGAAATTGTCAAAGATTTCATTTTACTTGGATTCACAATCGATACTCATAGAAGCAGCAATGAAGAAACAAATGGCATACTGCATTGGGCATAACTGCTGCAAAGGACCTCTGTAAAGGGTCACTTCGAGGACTAAGGTGCGCCTGACCCAAGCCTGGCATTTTCAGTTACCTTAGGATCACTGTGGGTTGGAACCGCCTCGGCGGCACCTAACAACAACATCTACATATAAAAGTTGGACAAACAAGGAAGGCCGTAGAAGACTCAATGCAAGTGTTAGAATTACGGTGCTGGAGAAGAATCTTAAAGGTGTCATCTACTGTCAGAAACACAAGTCTGTCTTGGAAGAAGAACAGCCAGAATGTTCCATAGAACCTAGGATGGTGACGTGTTGTCAAGAAAGACCAGTCCCTGGAGAAGGACATGAATCTTGTTAAAGTGGAGGGTCCGCAACAAAGAGAAAGCTCCCCAACTAGCTGCACTGACACAGTGTCATCCGCAAGGAGCTCAAACCCAGCCACTGTGAGGGTGAGCGTGGAGCAGGACTGCACAGGGCTTCTGTGCCAAGGGTCATTATGAGTCACAACTGCCTTGACAGCCTGCATCTAGTGACACAACATGCCAATAAGTTCAACAGCTGACATGCTGTGGACATTTTCCTTAACAGACACAAACTACCAATTGAATTTATTGTTAAAAACCTTCTCACAAAATAAAAGCACAAATAACTCCAGGCCCAAATGGTTTCAACAGATAAGGAGGGAAGAGCGCCAGTTATGACCATGGAGTCAGGCACTTGTCCTCAGGCAGGAGATGAGGTTGTGCAGAGCGGGGTTGGGTGCTGCCCTCGGAGAGGAGACAAAGCACCTGCATCAAGAGAAAGCTGGGCTGCAAGGCGATTGCACAACCCCTGCGGGTCCCAGCCTGCTGCTCCTCCAGCACTCGGCATGATCAACTTTACACAACAGCAGATTAAACACAGGATTAGTTCATGAACAAATAAATTACAGTTTTTAAAAGTGGCTAAAACTGATGACTGGCAGATTTCTAAAAGTGTTAGGAAAAAGCCTTTCAAGTTCTGTCTTGTTGGAAACCACACTTGAAGATTCTAAACACCCAGAAACTAGAGCAGCGCCTTGAGGTAGCACCTGTTTGACAAAACCCAAGATTGTGACCTCCCCCATTGCCATCTGTGGACAGGAGGGGATACATGCTGTTTACTTGAACTTTGGTCTTTGGTCAAATGCCACTTGTAGAGAAAGACCCCTTGGTGTGGTGTGCCTTGTATGCCCTTAAGCAAGGGTGATGGAAATGAAATATCTTTGTCCTCTTTACATCTCCAGCCCATTTCTCCTCTGGAGTTTTCTCCCGGTTGTCTGTGTCACGGAATCCCTGGGTAGTACAAACAGCTACGTTGGTGATTTGAACCCACCCAGAAGCACCTCAGAAGAAAGGCCTGATGCTCTGCTTCCGCATGGTCACAGCCTTGAATCCCCGCGGAGCACAGTTCTGCTCTGCACACACAGGGTCGTTATGAGCTGGAACTGACTCGTTAGGGTTTTGTCAGCCTCGCCACCATTCTGTAGACAGGGAAGCCCACAAAGTGAGGGGGGTGGCCCCTGCAGGAAGGTGGCCTGTGGTCTCGGGCTCCCGGCTGCCTGCCAGGCGCTACGGTCCCACACAACTGTCTCCTTTCCACAGACACCCAGTTCCTCTGGTGGCCTTGGCAGAGTTCACCAGTAATGTCATCTAGACTTTGTGGGAAGTTTTTTGAATAATATTTCAATCTCATTATAGGTCTATTCAGATTTCCTATTTCTTTGTGAGTCATTTGTGGTAGTTTGTGTTTTTCTAGGAATTTGTCCATTTCATCTGTTATATAGTCATTATATCCTTTTATGTTATTTTTAGATTTTTCTTCTCATGGTTAAAACACATTTTTATTTGTGAGTTTCACATAAAGTATTGCCATCGATCAAGGGCAGACAGGCATCCTCATTAAACAATCCACAGTGTTAGCAGAGGCCTGGAGACCTGGACTGGCCAGTGTTGACTGCTGATGTCTATTACCCGTGAGAAGGCCCCTCCCACCATTTGTCAGCCTTGAGGGGAGACACACAGATCTGGTTCCAGCCCCTTGAGTCTGAGCAGGAGGAATACAGACAATCGTTTGTCACTCTGAATGTCACTTCATAGGGAATGGATTGTAGATGGTTTGTCACAAACTTGTTGTGTTAACTTTCTCAACATTAATTGTTTCTAGGTTTTTACCTCAAATGGCCCAACAGTGATCATGCCTACCTGGTTCTGCTCCCGAGCGTGGTTTTCCCACGTGGGCTGGTTTGATGAGGGCGGGAAGGTAAGTGCTGGAAAGAGGGCATTAATGGGCCCCTGGGGAAGCCCTCCTCTGGGGTGGGGCTTGCCATCTTCACCAGATAGTCCCAGTCTGAGTGGCCAGCCTTCCCAGCCTCCTACCTCTGCTGCCAGCTGGGCCCGTAGGTCAAAGGGTCCAGGATGCCCAGTCTGTGCTCACAGCACCACCTGCCCGTGTTTATAGAAAGCAGGGACTTCGGAGTCACACCTGCTGGGGAGGCTCTGTGGCCTCGGGTCCCACGGTACCTCATCCCAACTGAAAACCTGTTTGTGGGAAGCCGGGCCAGCCTGTGCCAGGGATGACAGGAGGGAGAAGGGGGTGGCCTCTCCTGAAAATGGGGGAAACGCTCAGTGTCCATGCAGGCACCGGAGTGCCTGACCCACAGACGGTGAGATGGTGACCATCCAGCCGACAATTCGTCTACTCCCAGACAGATGGAGTCAGAATGAGACCTCCCCATCCCATGTAAAACCCAATTAAGATTGGTGTTTTATCTTCAATCTTCCTTACAAGGGCTTTTGAGAACTTGAGGTCTTGATGGCAGGGGAGACAGGAGAGTCCCTGCCATGCCTTTGATGTGGCCACACAAGTGCACAGAGTCCCCCACACACAAACACACATGGACAGAGCTCACACACACACACATACAGAGCGCCCCCCCCATGCACAGAGCATCACACGCACATGCACAGAGCACCCCACACACATGTGCACAGAGCCCACACACATGCACACACACACGTGCACAGAGCCCACACACACACATGCATGTGCACAGAGCCCGACACACACAGCACTTTGTCCGAACCCACCAGGCCCAGGGTCCCCAGTGGGCAGGAGGGAGCCCGGGCCGGGCAGAAAGGGGTCTGAGCACAGGGCCCAGTGGGCAGCAGTGGGTCTGCCTGTGGCAATTCATTTTCACAGCTGGCACCGTCGACTATGAGGAAAAACGGCTCAGTGGAGCCCCCTCACGTGGCCACATGTGTACTCGAGGTAGACCTCTCCTGACCCTGTGGCTGTTCTAAGTCTGCCTCCGTCTCCCTCCCCTCCTGTACCATGTGTGTACCCTCAGCCCCTGGCCAGTGCCACCCCTTCTGGGCAGCCACTGCTGCATCCAAAGCGTCTGACTGGCCCTGAGAGCTTCCCCAGACCAGGACAGGCACATTCCTGATGCCCCCTGCCTCGGGCACCTAAGGGTCTTCCTGGACTGGCACAAGATATTCCTGCACCCAGGAGATGGGGCCTCGGAGACTTGTAGTGACTGGCCACAGTCAAAGGTCTGCCCGAAGCCTCCCTGACCCCTTTGCCTATGCTGCACCCCCAGAATTGTCCAGGAAAACCAGGCCCTTGAGGAGGATCCAGCCAGAAGGTGGGGGTCTTGGTGCTCACAGAGGCAGGATGACTGCAGAGGGTCCCACCACCCTGCTAGTCTCAGGCTGACATGTGTGGGCACTGTGGGCATCTACCATGTGGACACAGGGCTGCCGCTGCTCCATCAGACTCAGAGGTGCCAATTTCCCATGGACTCTACAGCCCACAAAGTGGGACTTTGGCCTGTTTCTCACCTGAGTTACCAAGAGTGAAAATGGGGGAAACTCTCAGTAACACAGACTGACAGACACAGTGCTGTAGCAATGGGCTCAAACCGCCAGGGTCGTGAAGGTGGCGTGGGACCAGACATCTGTCCCATTCTGCTGCACATACATCCAGCACGAATGAATTGGGGCCGCCTCAGGGGCAACAACAGCCTCTGAAACAAAAAGAAACGAAAGTGATGTGACTGATTCTGAGGGCAGGCTATGGTCCCCCCACTGAGGACATGTCAACCTGAACCAACAGCCTGGAGGAGTTCTTCATTCTCATCAGAGGGACAGGCCATGCAGAAAACCCATTGCCCCGGGGAAAAACATTTAATGGACACGTGCTTTCATTTCTGTTGCATAAGAACCTGGGGATGGAATTGCAGTGAGGCCTCTGTGTGGTAGAAGACATGTTCACAGCACCGGTGCTGTCAATGACTGTTCTCAACTCCTTGTCAAGTCTTCAGTTGTAGCCGTTCTGGTCAGTGGTCTAGGTTTTCTTCCTGTACCTTCCAGTTGTATGTCCAGGGTGACAAGTGATACTGGACAATTTTTCATGTGATTATTTGCTGTTTATTTTGTGAAGTGTCCAACAATTGTGCCCATTTGTGAGTGGGCTGTCTTTTTATGGTAGGTGCTTTTTCAGATACTTGCTTTATGAACATCTCGTTGGGGGTCTTCCTCTTTTTCTCTGACCTTCCAGTATACCAGCTGTTGTATCCTTCTCCAGGGGCTGGTCCCTCCTGATCACATGGACAAAGTACGTGAGACAAAGCCTCGCCATTCTCGCTTCTAAGGGACATTCTAACTGTACTTCTTCAAACACAGATTGGTTCATGCTTTTGGCAGTCCTTGGTATGGTCCAGGTGGTGGTGTGCTGTTGGAGTCGGTTCCAACTCATAGCGACTCTGCATAGAGTTTCCGAGGCTGTAATCTTTATGGGAGCAGAAAGCTTCATCTTTCTCCTGAGGAAAGGCTGGTAGTTTCAAACTGCTGACCTTGAGGTTAGCAGCCCAACTCATAACCGCCATGCTATGTTGTTGTTGTTAGGTGGCATTGAGTTGGTACCAACTCATAGTGACCCTATGCACAACAGAACAAAATACTGCCTGGTTCTGGGCCAACCTCACAACTGTTGCCATGCTTGAGCCCGTTGATGCTGCCACTTTACCAGTCCATCTCGCTGAGGGTCTTCCTCTTCCTCTCTTACCCTCCACCTTACCAAACATGATAGCCCTCTCCAGTCAGTGACTGGTCCCTCCTGGCAATATGTCTGAAGTATGAGAGACGAACTCTGGTCATCCAGGCCTCCAAGGAGCACTCTGGCTGCACTTCTTCCAACACAGATCTGTTGGTTCTTTTGGCAGCCCATGGCACTTTCAGTATTCTCTTCCAACACCATAACTCAAATTCACCAACTCTTCTACAATCTTCTTTATTCACTATGCAACTTTCACTTGCATATGAGGCTATTGAAAATACTATGGCTGGGGTCAGGTGCACCTTAGTCCTCAAACTGACATCTTTGCTCTTCAACACTTTTAAAAAGGTCTTGTGCAGCATTTGCCTAATACAATACATTGTTTGATTTCTTGGCTGCTGCTTACTTGAGTGTTGGTGGATGATCCAAGAAAATTAAGTCCTTGACAACTTCGGTCTTTTCTCCACTGATAAGAACGTTGTTTATTGGCCCAGTGGTGAGGATTTTTGTTTTCTTTACATTGAGGTTCAATCCATACCGAAGGCTACGGTCTTCAATCTTCACCAGAAAGTATTTTAAATCCTCTTCATTTTCAGCAAGCAAGGTTGTATCATCTGCATATCGCAGGTTGTTAATGAGTCTTCCTCCAGTCCTGATGCCACGTTTGTCTTCATAGAACCCAGCTTCTCAGATTATCTGCTCAGCATACAGGTTGAATAAGTATGGTGAAAGACTACAACCCTGTCGCACACCTTTCTTAATTTTAAACCATTCAGTGTTCCCATGTTGTGTTCGAACAACTGCCTCTTGGTCCAGGTACAGATTCCTCATGAGCACAATTAAATCTTCTGGAATACTCACACTTAGTAATGTTGTCCATAGCTTGTCATGATCCACACAATCGAAAGCCTTTGCATACTCAATAAAGCAGAGGTAAACATGGCTTTTCTCCCATTTCTGGTATTCTCTGCTTTCAGCCAAGATCCATCTGACATCGCTTGTTCCACAGCCTCTTCTGAATCTGGCTTGAACCTCTGAAAGTTCCCTGTCAGTGTATGCTTGCAGCAGTTTCTGTATTACCTTCAGAAAACTTTACTCACGTGGGATGTCAAAGATATTATCCAATGAGTTCCGCATTCCATTGGGTCACCGTTCTTTGGAATGAGCACAAATAAGGATCTTTTCTAATCAGTTGGCCAGATCGTTGTCTTCCAAACTTCTTGGCATGGATGAATGAGTGCCTCCAGTGTTGTCTCATTTTGTTGAAAGATTTCAATTTGTACTCCATTCCTCGTGCCTTGTTCTTTGCCAATTCCTTCAATGTACCTTGGACTTCTTCCTTCAGTATCATTGGCTCTTGATCATATGCTACCTTTTGAAATGGTTGAACATTAACCATTTCGTTTTGGTACAGTGACTCTGTGTATTCCTTTCATCTTCTCTTGATGCTTTCTGCATCATTCAGTAATTTGCCCAGAGAATCCTTCAATATTGAAAGTCGAGGCTCGAATTTTTTCTTCATTTTCCCCAGCTTGAGAAATGCTGAGCGTGTTCTTCCCTTTTGGTTTTCTGACTCCAGATCTTAGCACATTTCGTTGTGCTATTTGACTTTGTCTTCTTTCTCAAGCTGACTTTTGAAACTGTTCAGCTCTTGTACCTCCTTATTTCTTCCATTTGCTTTATTTAGCTTCTCTACGCTAAAGAGCAAGGTTCAGAGTCTCTTCTGACATCCATTTTGATCTTTTCCTTCTTTCTTGTCTTCTTAATGACTTTTTGCTTATTCATGTATGATGTTCTTGATGTCATCCCACAACTCTGCTGGTCTTCGGTCTTTAGTGTTTAATGTATCAAATCTGTTCTTCAAATGATCTCTAAATTCAGGGGGGATATATTCAAGGTCATATTTTGGCTCTTGTGGACTTGTTTTCATTTTCATGAGCTTCCATTTTAATTTGCATATGAGCAATTGATGGTCTGTTCCACAGTCTGCCTCTAGCCTTATTTTGACTGATGATATGGAGCTTTTCCAGCATCTCTTTCCACAGATGTAGTCAATTTGATATCTGTGAATTCCATCTGGTGAGGTCCATGTGTATAGTTGTCTCTTATGCTGTCTAAAGAAGGTATTTGAAATAAACAAATCATTAGTTTTGCAGAATTCTATAATGCTATCTTCAGCATCGTTTCTATCACCAAGGCCATATTTTCCAAGTACTGACCCTTTCTCTCTGTGTCAAACCTTTGCATTCCAATCAGCAGTGATTATCAACATATCTTGATTGCATGTTTGAACAGTTTCAGATTGAAGAAGTTGGTAGAAATCTTCTATTTCATCTTCACTGGTTTTAGTGGTTGGCCTAAATTTGAATAATAGTGGTATTAACTGGGCTTCCCTGTAGGCGCATGGATATTATCCTATCACAGACAGTGCTGTACCTCATGACTGATCTGGATATGTTCATTTTGACGATGAATGCAACACCATTCCTCTTCAATCTGTCATTCCTGGCATAGTAAACCATGTGGTCGTCAGATTCAAAGTGGCCAATACCAGTCCATTTCAGGTCACTAATGCCTAAGATGTCGATGTTTATGCATTCCATTTCGTTTTTTATAATTTCCAATTTTCCTAGATTCATACTTGGTACATTCCATGTTCCGATTATTAATGGATGTTTACAGCTGTTTCTCTTCATTTTGAGTTGTGTCCATCAGCAAATGAAGGTCCCGCAGGCTTTTCTCCCATGAGCCTTTACTCCATTCGCGTCATCACCGTCAACTCTAGCTCTTCCCCAGTCTCATTTTCAGCGCCTTCCAACCTGAGGGGCTCATTTTCCAGCACTATGTCTGACAGTGTTTCTCTGCTATTCATAAGGTTTTCTGTGGCTAAATTTTCACAAGTTGTTCGTCACTCCATCTTCCTAGTCTGCCTTCGTCTGGAAGGTTATCTGAAACCTGTCCACTGTGGGTGTCCCTGCTGGTATTTAAAATACCTGTGGCATAGCTTCCAGAATCACAGCAACTCACAAGCCGCCACAGTACGACACACGCTACAGTCGATATTATTCACCAACTCCATAATTCAAAGGCATCAGTTCTTTCCTGGTCTTCCTCCTTCATCTTGTCCAGCTTTCACATGCATATGAGACAATTGAAAATACCATGTCTTAGTCAGGTGAACCTTCATCCTCATAGTGATGCCTTTGTTCTTTAACACTTTAAAGAGATTTGACCAGTACGGTACGACATTTGATTTCTTGACTGTGACTTTGTGGGCTCCTGGTGTGGCGCTGTAGGATCAGCACTAGACTGTGAACCACAAGGTGGGCAGTTCAAACCTACCAGCTGCTCCTTGGAAACCTGTACAGAGTCACTATGGGTCAGAATCGACTCCGTGGCACTTAACAACACAACAACCATCACTGTAATTTTATGTTTGACCTTTTTGTCCCCCCCCCCCCCCAAAAGAAGCCCTGTATCCCACAACTCCCCACCTCTTCTCCTGCCCTAGCCACGTGCTGATCTGCATTCTTTTAGCCTTTTTTTTTTTAACATCTTCCTTCTTTTGGGGGGGTGGGAAGTGTTCAGTTTTATACTTAGTTACTGAATTTCTCATTCTCGATTGTCTCCCTCTGAGCCCTGCAGTGTCTGTTGCATGTTTTAGCTTGTGGCATTAGGTTACGTACAGCGTGGGGAAGGAGATGCTTTCTCATCCACTGAAGTGTTTAGTTCCTGTTTTCTGTTTTGTTCTCCTGTTGGGTTTGTGTGGTTGAAGACAGTTCATGTCTGCGTTCTGTGAACAGACGTGGCTATTTCAAGTGCTCCCCCTTCTGACACTGTGGTGAAGTACAGCTCCTTGCATGGGTTTTGTTTGGGGAATGGGAGTAGGGCTGTACCCTGCATTTCCTTCTGTCTTACTAGACCCTAGAACTTTCCAGGCAGGGCTGCTTCCCCTTTGTCCCCAGGTCTCTTCCCCGTCCCTTTCTGTGGGTACAGTAATGTTTGGAGGACACCGGAAGGTGTGGGTCTAGGTGGCTGTGCCCACGGTTCCCAAGAAATCCTCTCTGACTGACTCTCCCACCGCAGGAGTACCAGCCTGGCAGGCCCAGGAGCCAGCAGTGGAGGTGTGGGCAGAGACTGGGCAGCCTGGTGGATAACTGGGAGAGTCCAGGGTAGAGAGTCAGGCAGGGACCCTGCTCTCTGAGGGGCCCAGCTCCCCTGCTGGGGAAGCAGAACTGTCACCTGCAGTCCTACACCCCAAGGGCTGAGAGATTTCTGGTCTTTGAGCACTTTCTCCATCCTAACCTTTCATGAGCACAAGGTCCAAAGGCACCTTCACAAATACAGAAAAAAGAAAAATCACATAGCTTGCCTGAGAGCCTAGCCCCCGCACCACTGTGCTGCACTGCGGAGGATGCTGGTGGGCTCTGCTCGGCTGTGGGCAAAGTCAGCAGAGCTGTACCTATGGCTGTGAAGCCAGTTTGTAACTTACTGTTTTATTATAGATGTTTTACTAGTACTTGGTGGTCTTTGTAAATACATATATGTTTATATATCTATTAATTACTGCATCAGATTCTAACCAGTAGATGCACTGCAGCTTACTCACTGGGCATTTAGGGTGCGTACAGGCTTTGGATTTTGAGGGGAAAAGGATCGTTTCCTTTCATCCATTTTTCTCATTGTTTGGGGGGCTGATATTTTAGAAGCCCAGCTCATAGTATGCTCGTACGAAAACCTGGACTGAGATGTGAATTCCAAGGCCAGCCGTCACGTCCTGAAGGACCTGAGGCTGAGGTAGCGGCCGGCAGGGTTTTCCTGTTGCGTTTTGGCTCAAGTTGAGGAACAAGATCGGTCTTTGAAACTCTTCCAGTTTGAGCAATGAAGCTAGTCACCTCTTTGAAATCCAGAGAGCCCCCTGAGTCACCTTTATGCTCTGGAGACATAGCCCCAGAGTCCTGCTTCTAAGAGTAGGTGAGGGTACAGGCTGCTGAGAAGAGTCCCTGAGCCCAGACCTCTGTGAAATGCCGTGTCAGCCAGGCATTCTGGGAGTTTCCAGCAGATGTGCTTTCAACCATGCACCTTGTCTGTTCCTTCCTAAACTTCCTTTGGGTGAGTGGAGCAACCCACAGTCCTGGTGTGACAGTGCCCGCTGAGAAAGATTTGAGACAGATGCCTGGTGAGCACCGCTTCAGGGGTCTGTGAGGCTGGGCAGGGCACTGTGGCCAGAGAGAAGACCCCAGGGTACCGCTTGTCTTGCCCGCCTCTGTGTAGGGCCCCCTCAGACTCCGTGTGCACTCACTGACCCTCTCGGAACCTCCACAGGGCGTGCCCGAGGACCTGCTCTTCTTCCAGGAACATCTCCGCCAGGGCGGCCACGTCATCCGCGTGGAGCACAGCCTTCTCCTGTACCGCCACCACCCGCAGGCTGCCTCGCTTTCCGTCCTCGAGTGAGTAGGGGGCTGGGGGCATGGCATAACCAACAGTAACAATACAATCTGTAAAAGTAGGCAGAAAGTCGCGGAAAAACGGAATGAAAAGATAACGAAAATATTTCACAAACTTTTTGAAGCCCCCTCATATCTGAAGAGACACTTTACACTTTACAATAAGCACAACAGAACGTGGTCATCTCAGTAATGTCTGGGAAACGCACATTGAAGTGATGCTCACCCACTTGAATCTCTAAAAGAGAAAGCTGGTAATTCCAAATGGTGACCAAGGATGTGGGATTGATTACAAGAACTCGCTCACATTGTTCTCAAGACTGGTACTTTTATTCATTGAATTAGCATGCACACAGAAATGTTGTAACTGCCCTACCAACAACAGCCATGAACAGGTTGGCCCACACGTCCTCACACGGGTGAACACATAAACACATTTGGGATGCGCTCTCATCCTGGCTTTCTCAGCAGTGACGAGCGCCATCTACCAGTACACGTGATGGCGTGGTTGTGGTGAAGAGCAGTCGACGACATTTGTCCTGGTGATATAAACAGGCATGATTTTCCTCTGGGGCCAGGGGCATGTGGCAACTTCCTGGGGTGGAGTTTACATGGATTTGACCCCCACACCTCAGGTCTGTCATCTTCACTCTGTAGGTTAAATTTAAGAAAAACTCAATGTCTGACAAGTGCTTCTCTAAGGATGAAGAGCTCCCCCGACCTATAAACGGAGACAAAAACGTCGGGAAGTAAAATACTGCAGCAGGCAGAAGTCTGGCTGTGGCCTCCAAGTAGTCAGTCAGGTGCTGAGAGCATTTGGACAGAGAACCGTGGAATGTTCTAAAAGCTCTTTTCTGTCATCATCCTGAAGGTTTGGCCCGTGTGTGGTCCAATCGTAAGTTCTGTGCACACAGGACCCACAGTTCGGCAGAGTCCTGCACCCACAAAGAAGCTAGGCAGCCGGCCAGCGGGCTCGGTGCATGCCCTGTGTGTCGAGGGCTGTCTGCACTGGGAGGCTTTGCCACCCACCACACGAAAGCTGTGATCTCATGTTGGTTTCTGTATGGATTAAATCTGAGCTGAGCATTCAGCCCTTCCAGGGAAACAGGTTTTAAAGTAACCCCAGGCTTCCCGAGAGTATGGCTACAACAGACCACCTCACAGAGTCAGAGCCCACCCTGATCCTGAGAGCGTGATTACTGCAGACCACCTCACAGCCCACCCTGGTGCCTGTCCTCTTGTTGTAAATTGAGATTGGGCAGCATCTGTAGCAATACATTTACTACAAAAAATTTCAGGCAAAAGGCACGGACCTTTAACTAGTGTCCTCACTGAGCTGTGCAGTCCCACACGTGAGCGCTAATGTGGCCTCCCTCATCCATTTGTTGGTTCCCTCACTGATTCTTCATTTACTCATCTGTGCGTTCATTCATACAATCCCTGAGGGCCTGGCTGGATGGGTCAGGTCATCTTGGGCTGCAAGGATGATTGGATTGGTTTATGGTGGGAACTTTCTTCCTACCCACAGAGGCACCATCTGGACCCTCCGTGTCCACTTTCTGGAAGAAAGAGTACTTCCACACTGGGTGGCCTTCACCATTTGGAATGCAGGCAAGCAGGGCCGTCGGCTCTTCCGCAGCCTAGGGGCTGCCAACCAACAGAAGGTGGGACCCCTGCCCCTACAACTTTCTTTCCAATACCCAGCATTCCCTTAGCTTCTCTACATCCCACCTCTCTCCAAATTGGACGGGTTGGCAGACAGAAGGCACGTTTGGTCCTTACTCGAGTCACCTCCCAATGTATCCCTGACCAGCCAGCCATAGGCGGGTGGTCACTGCCCACCCTGAGAAGTACTGCTTTGTGCCCACCACGTGGCCTGTGTGCCGTGGCTCTGCCCCAGCCCTGGGTACAGGGAGGTCCTGGGGAACTCAACCTGGTCCCTCCCCAGGGAGAGGTAGAGCCAAGACCCTGGGCTGTGAGGGTCCAACTTACTCTTTCTCCAGGTGGTAGCATTTTGTGACGTTGATGAACGCAAGATCCAAAAGGGCTTTTACTGCTACGAGGATTCCCAGGTGTGTCGGGGCAGGGGCCTGGGGATGCAATGAGGACATCATGCCCCAGGTGGTGGGGTGACAGAGGAAATCGGAAGCCCCCTGTTGGGTACTGGCCCCTGGCCCCGGGGCACCTGGAGGGATGCTGCCATTGGGCCCCCCCTCCCAGGCCACACCTGCCCCTACTCACCATAGCAGACCCCCTTCTCCAGGACCCACATCCCTATAGGAAGAAACCCTTAGGTTCCTCCCTGGTAGTGTGAGGACAGTGGATGGAGGCCAGTCCTGGTCCTGGGATTGGGGGCCCAGTCCTGGGCTTCTGGACCTGCCCATCTTTCCCAGAGGCTGTGACCATGGCCCCTGCCTCGCCTCTCTGTCCCGGTGTCCTGTCACCTGAACTGTGCCGTTAGCAGGATGTACTGGGCCCTCGTGTTGCGCATGGGACCAGCATGTATGTAACTCAGAGCTGAGGCCCTTCATCTCCCGTAGGAAAGGCCCAAGCCTCAGGTCCCAATCCTGCACTTCCGCGCTGCCCGGCCACCCTTCATCATCTGTGTGAAACTGGTGAGTGGCAGGCTGGGGTGGGGGTGGGGGGTACTCTGTGAGGATAGAGAGGCGGGGGCGCCGATGCTGTTCTTCTCAACCATGGAAAAGTCCTGGATGGACATCTGTTTCTGGCCAGTGAAGTGGGTGAGGACAGCCTGACCTCCAGGAGTCTGGGGAGCTGACAGGTGGGGGTATCTCCCATTTCCAGGGGTGATGGGTAGCTCAGGCTCCTCAGAGGGGCTGCCCTGCAGTCTGTGAGGTGTGGGGTGACTTGTTATACAGCAATTAGGGAACTAATGCAGGCCCAAGCTCCCCCGACCTATAAACGCAGTCAGCAGAACAAAAGGAAACATGGCTGGTACCCTGGCTATGAGGAATAATGCTGTGAACATCCACACACAAGCTTTTAAGTGGACGTGTTTTCCTGTCCCTGGTGTGCATATGGATGCAGGGAGTTGCCAGGTCATGTGGTGACTCTGTGTAACCTGATGGGGGAGTGGGCAGACTTTTCCAGAGCAGCTGCGTCGCACTCTCCCACCCCACCACCAGTTTCTCCATGTCTTGTCTTGTTTGTTTTTTATACAATAACCACACTAATGGGTGTGACGTGGTTACTGTCAGCGGCTGCTTTTAAGCTCCAGAGGCCACATGGCTGCGTGGTTGAACATCTTTCCTGTCTGGGCCTTTGTGGAAAACCCCAAGGGGATGTTCTAGCACGTGAACACCCAATTTAATGAATGAAATTCTCAGCCATCCAGGCCCCTCCCCAGCTAAGGGGAGAGCAGCTTCCTGTGTCGCCCACCACCCTCACCGGTGTGTACAGTGCTGTGTGTATGTGCGTCCCAGCCCCTTTGTCCTCCTGGGGGTGGGATCTAACATTTTATTCTCTAGTCTCGGGTTCCTTTCACCCAACGCTGTTTGTGTAACTGGACGGGTCAGCCTCTGGGTGTCTGTTCTCCCTCATGCGAATCACACACCACTTTGTGCTAATGATGACAGGCCTGTGGACATTGTTTCCAACCCCACAGTGACTGTGGTCATGGGGAAACTGCCAGAGGGACTGGCTGTGCTGTCTCATGGAGCCCCCAGGCTTACTGACCTGGGATGTTCTGACTCTGACAGTTTGGGGAGTGTGGGTGCAGAGCTCTTCTTGGTTTTAAACTGTGGATCCCTGGCTACATCAGGCTTCCTCCCTGGGCAGAGGAGCAGCTGACACACAGACAGGGCCCTTTAAGCACCCACTGAGTAGGTGGGTCAGAGGGGAGGCCTGGGTGACCTGCCTGCTTCCCCCATAGGACCTCACAGGGGGCGCATTTGAGAAGAACCTGAGCTCGCTGCACCTGCAGGAGGGGCGGGACTTCTACCACTTCAGCTGACAGGCCTGAGGCAGCTGCTCCCAGGTAGGTGCAACCGTCAGAGTAGGTATGATGCTGGATGAAGAGGGACAACCCCCCCATGAACTAGAGGACACAGGCTCCTTTTCACTGGGAATCCGGTGAAGGTCTACTGAGCAAATCAGTTTTCCATTCAACAATTCATACACAGTTTGTTTCATCTCACTGAGCGCAATCACCGCTGTGTAACATCATTTACCCCACTTCACCCCTGTGTTTCCTGTTTCTATTTATTCTCTTTTCCTGTCCCTTCTGAACTATGTCCTTGGGTAAATGCTCCCCTTTTGATCTCAAGTGGTTGATGACCAAAATTTATAACATCATTCACGGGCCATACAAAATTACCAACTTCAAAATGAGCCTGCTACATTTGGTTAAACTTTCCTCACCTCTAATGTGATGGCTAGAGAGCGTGGCGTGGCGCTGTGGGTTAATGCGCCAGACTGCAAAGCCATTTGAACTGCAAGGTCAGTGGTTCAAGCTCATCAGCTGCTCCTCGGAAACCCTATACAGGGTCGCTATGGGTCGGAACCAACTCAACGGCACTTAACAACAAATGTAATGGCTGGACCTGCGGTTGCCTTGGCAGGGCCACACCAAATGCTTTTTGGGTGGGGCCGGCCCTTCCCCATCCCTGCTCTAAGGTGTGCATACTTCCCTAGTGGTCTTCACTTACAGACTTGTGCATGGTTTGACTGAAAATGGAGCCGTGGTGGTCTGTTTCTAGATCTGAAGGGCCGTAGGCTCAGGGCTCCCACCTGTCTCTGACTAGTAAGCCTGGTCCTAAATGATGAGTTTTGTTCCAAGTTTCTCCAGTCATCCAGGGCTTTCTATTGTCAACCCTGTCAGAGCAGCTGGTCACAGGGCTGTGGAGACCCATGTTGGTCCATTAGCCAACTGGACTACTTGTTTCCATGAGTCTGATTTTCTTCACTCTTCTTCCCTCCAGACAGGGAGAGACCAATCGTTGGCTCCTTAGATGGCCACTAACGAGCTGCGCTTTCAGTATGTATTGAGGCAGAATTTACATGCATGAAGATCCACAGTCATAGCTGTCTAAGCCAGGTGCACTTGCGTGTGTGCACATAACAGAACCCCAGCAACCCAGATACAGAGCAGTTCCTCCACCTCCGCAGGCCGCCTTGTGCCTCCCGCTGAAGCTTCCTCCGTGTCGACTGAGGTCACCAGAAGTTTTCTCATAAGTAGGACCACTCATGACTGGGTTCTGTAGTAGACACATGCTTTTCAGAATCTCCCACATTGTTGAGTGTCATTTCATTCTCTTTCCATTACTGTCCATTAGTCCATTGTATTGCTGTCTCACTGGTTTATTCATCCTCCTCTGGTCATTCATGTTTGTCCAGTCCTGGCCTGTTATAAGACATGCTGCCCTACTGTTCTGGCACAGCGTTCTCCAAGTGCTTGTCCTACCACAGACGGGCAGGTCCTTCTAGCAGGTGTGGGATGGGGCATCACTGTGGGTTTGAATTGCAACTCCTTGGTTCAGAATGGATGTTGAGCACCTTTTCATAAGCATACTACCCACTTTTAACTTGGATTGTCTTGTTAATCGGTTGCTAAGAACCCTTTCAATATTCTTGAGATGAGTGTGGTCAGTACATGAGTAGGTTTGTTAACACTAAGCCAACCTTGCATTCCTGAAGAAAACCCACCTGATTTCTTTGTTTTTGCAGGATTTTTGCATCTGTGTTTGTATCAAGATTGGACTACATTCTGCTTTCTTGTCTGGTTTTATTGTCAGGATGATGATGTTGTTGTTTTAGGTGCCACCAAGTCCCTAATGACTCATAGTGACCTATGCACTGCCCAATTCTGGGCCAACCTCACTACTGTTGCCATGCTTGAGACCATTGATGCTGCCACTTGGCCAGTCCATCTTGCTGGGGGTCTTCCTCTTCCTGTCTGACCCTCCACCTTACCAAGCATGATATCCTTCTCTAGCGACTGGTCCCTCCTGACAATATGTCCAAAGTATGAGAGACAGCTTTTGGCCATCTTGGACTCCAAGGAACACTCTGGCTGCACTTCTTCCAACACAGATCTGTTGGTTCCTTTGGCAGCCCATGGCACTTTCAATATTTTTCTCCAACACCATAACTGAAAAGCATCAATTTTTCTACAGTCTTCCTTATTTGCTGTCCAGCTTTTGCATGCATATGAGGTTATTGAAAATGCCATGGCTTGGGTTCAGGCGCACCTTAGTCCTCAACCTGATATCTTTGCTCTTCAACACTTTAAAAAGGTCTTGTGCAGCAGATTTGCCTAATGCAATACGTCGTTTGATTTCTTGACTGCTGCTTCCATGAGTGTTGATAGTTGATCCAAGAAGAATGAAGTCCTTGACAACTTCAATCTTTTCTCAATTGATAAAAATGTTGTTTATTGGTCCAGTGGTGAGGATTTTTATTTTCTTTACATTGAGATTCAATCCATACCGAAGGCTGTGGTCCTTGATCTTCATGAGTAAATATTTTAAGTCCTCTTCACTTTCAGCAAGCAAGGTTGTATCATCTGTATCACAGGTTGTTGATGAGTCTTCCTCCAATCCTGATGCCACGTTTTTCTTCATATAGCCCAAGTTCTCTGATTATTTGCTCAGCATACAGGTGGAATAAGTATGGAAAAAGAATACAACCCTGTCGCACACCTTTCATAATTTTAAACCATTTAGTATTCCCGTGTTCTGTTCAAAAAACTGCATATTGGTTTATGTACAGATTCCTCATGAGCACAAATAAGTGTTCAGGGATACTCATACTTTGCAATGTGTCCATAGCTTGTCATGATTCACAAAATTGAAAGCCTTTGTGTAGTCAGTAAAGCACAGGTAAACGTCTTTCTGATAGTCTCTGCTTTCAGCCAAAATCCATCGAACATCAGCAATGATGTCTCTCGTTCCACGGCCTCTTCTGAATCCCACTTGAATCCCCGGAAGTACTTGTCAATGTATGCTTGTAGCTGTTTCTGTAGTACCTTTAGTAAAACTTTACTCACATGGGATAGCAAAGATATTGTCCGATGAGTTCTGCATTCCGTTGGGTCACCTCTCTTTGGAATGGGCACAAATACGGACCTTTTCTAATCAGTCGGCCAGATAGTTGTCTTCCAAATTTCTTAGCATAGATGAGTGAGTGCCTTCAGTGCTGCCTCACTTTATTGAAAGATTTCAATTTTCCCATCAATTCCTGGTGCCTTGTTCTTTCCAATTCCTTCACGGCATCTTGGACTTCCTCCTTCAGTAGTATCATTGGCTCTTGATCATATGCTACCTCCAGAAATGGTTGAACATCAACCATTTCCTTTTGGTACAGTGACTCTCTGTATTCCTTCTATCTTCTTTTGTTGCTTTCTGCATCATTCAATAACTTGCCCTGAGAATCCTTCAATAATGAAAATCGAGGCTTGGATTTTTTCTTCAGTTCCCCCAACTTGAGAAATGCTGAGCGTGTTCTCCCTTTTTGGTTTTCTGATTCCAGATCTTTGTACATTTTGTTCTAATATTTGGCTTTATCTTCTCTAGCTGATCTTTGAAATTTTCTGCTCAACTCTTGGACCTCCTCATTACTTACATTTGATTTAGTATCTCTATACTGGAGATCAAGTTTCAGAATCTCTTCTGACATCCATTTTGATCTTTTCCTTCTTTCTTGTCTTCTTAATAACTTTTTGCTTTCTTCTGTATAATGTTCTTGATGTCATCCCACAACTCTTCTGGTCTTTGGTCTTTAGTGTTTAATGTATCAAATCTGTTCTTCAGGTGACCCCTAAATTCAGGTGGGATATATTCAAGGTCATATTTTGTCTCTTGTGGACTTTTCATTTTCCTCGGCTTCAGTTTGAATTTGCATCTGAGTAATTGATGGTCTGTTCCACAGTCTGCCCCATCCTTGTTTTGACCGATATGGAGCTTTTTCCATCGTTTCTTTCCACAGATGTAGTTGATTTGATTTCTATGTATTCCATCTGGTGAGGTTCATGTGTATAGTTGTCTATTATGCCGTCTAAAGAAGGTATTTGAAATGAACAAGTCATTGATTTTGCAGAATTCTGTCATGTGATCTCCAGCATCATTTCTATCACCAAGGCCATATTTTCCAACTACTGATCCTTTCTCTTTGCTCCCAACCTTTGCATTCCAGTCACTGCTAATGATCAGTACATCTTGATTGCATGTTTGATCAATTTCAGATTGAAGATGTTGGTAGAATTCTTCTTCTATTTCATCCTCACTGGCTTTAGTGGTTGGTGTGTAAATTTAAATAATAGTGGTATTAACCGATCTTCCCTGTAGGCGCATGGATATTATCCTATCACAGATAGCATTGTACCTCATGACTGATCTGGATATGTTCTTTTTGACGATGAACGCAACACCATTCCTCTTCAATTAGTCATTCCTGGCATAGTTAACCATGTGGTTGTCAGATTCAAAATGGCCGATACCAGTCCATTTCAGGTCACTAATGCCTAAGATACCGATGTTTATGCGTTCCATATCATTTTAGCCATGGGACACCACTGTCTCTCCCCTTTGATATTCTCTGGGGGAATGTGAATAAGATCAGGACGATTTGCATCTTAAAACTTGGTAGGTCCTCCCTAGAAAGCCACCCGGGACTGATGTTTACTTATAAGATTTTAAAATACTAATTCCATTTCTTTATATTTATAAGACTATTCAGGTTGCCTATTTCTTAAGTAAATATCAAGAAATTGCATATTTTCAAAAGTTGATTCATTTCATCTGTCTTCACATATCCAGTGTATAGCTTTCTCATAAAAAAATGTCTCCAGTATTGGGAGCTTTGTCTCCCTTTTCATTATTAATTTGTTCACTGTCGCATTCTTTTCTTGATGGATCTTGCCAATAGCTTGAGTACTTCTGTTGTCTTTTCTATGAGTCACCTTTGGATTCATTGTTGTTAAATGCCATCTAGTCAATTCTGACTCACAGCAACTCTGTTTAGGGAAAAGTTTCTGAAGCTCTAAATCTTCAAGAGAGCAGAGAGCCTCATCTTTCTCTTGCGGAGCAGCTAGTGGACTCGAACCGTGTACCTTGTGGTTTGCAGTCCAGTGCTTATCATATAATCTGTCTTTATGCTGTGTTTCATAAATTCTACTCTTAAACCTAAAGAAAGTAGAAACAAAATAATTCTAACTTCTTACATTATATTTAGCTCATTAGCTTTTTTTAGTCTATTTTTGTAATATATCACTTAAGGTTTCAAAATACTGTAAGTACCACTTTGGGCAAATTCTGTCGTGATATATTCGGTAATTTTCATTAAATATTTCCTAATTTTTATTATAATTTTTAAAGCATATTTCTTAAAGAAGCGTTTGTGTCTTCTTAAAGTCCCAGATAATGAGGGTGAGAAAAAATTTCTCCATACTCTGGCTGTAGAATTTATTTTAATCAGCTTTTAGAAAAGACAAATACATCATTCTTCGACAAAATCTCCTTCCTTTTCAATACACCTTATCCATCTGTCAACAAGCTTTCATATTCCCTTATTTAAAATATTTTAGGCTGAGCTCCAAGCCACGAATGCACCACTGTCTTCACTTCTTCATCAGAGGGGAATCTTCGTCCTCATAGGGCTGTTTTAGGGAACCAAACAGGTGAAAGTCCGATGTAGTGAGATCAGGACTAGAGAGAGGATGCTTTAACACCTCCAAAATAAGCCTGTGCAGAGTGTCAACAGTGTGGGCAGAGTTGTGTGGACGTGCGTGTCATGCGGCGCCCTTGGACGTCCTCTGCGTTTAATCTGAAGTTTGGGCTTTAACGGGCACTGTTGATGAACTTTCTCCTGATGGGGTTCCAATACTGACCTTGAGAACCCTAGAAAACATTAGCAACAATTTTCCTGCTCTTGGTTGCCTTTTGGAGGACGATTGAGAATGTTTTCATTCCATACTCTGCTGTTTACTCTCAGGCTCATAGTGATGAAGCCATGTCTCCTTGCTAGTAATGTTTGTTATTTATTTTAAAGAAACTTTTACCTTCCTTCGAGTATTGGTCCAAATTTTGTTTGCAACTGTCCCAATGCTTCTGTTTATTCTTATCTGTGAGTTTTTTCAGTACCCATTTTGCACAGACTTTTCAAACCCCAAGTCTGTGGCAGATGATTTCACAGGCAGGGCCGTGGCTGATTTGCCACATAATCACTGTCATTTGTGTATTCGAATCATGTCACGTGCACGTTCAGTGTTGTCATCGGCTATGGACGAGCATTTTATTATAACCAGAGTGCAGACAATTCTGTACTCACCCTCGTCTATACATAAATAAGGCAGAGTAGAACTACCCTATAGGGTTTCCAAGGCTGTACATCTTTATGGAAGCAGACAGCCTTATCTTTCTCCCCGAGTGGCTGGTGGGTTTGAACTGCTGACCTTTAAGTTAGCAGCTGAGTGCTTTAACCATGATGCCACCAGGGATCCTTTAAAAAGTTTGTGGAAACATGGAATTTTCATAGATACAGATATATACACACATGCACATTCCCCTAGTTGTACGTACACATCAACATTTGGGTCTGTACACTATATGTATGTTTGTAGATCAAGCCTTTGTTTTCAGACAATCCTTGATTTTATATCAATGGATATAAGTTTCAATAAAATAGACTCTGGTGGCAATTTATGCGTAGCTTTTGTGGATTGTTGGATTTGATATATTCTGACACCATAGTTCTAGTAACCTGCCAGAGTACAGAAAGTCTGTCATCTTCTTGCTGGACTAAACCGTTTATATCACATAATATTCTATAAGGGGTCCCAGTGTGGCACCGTCAGATAAGACCCACCAGCCACTCCTCAGAAACCTTACACAGGGTTGTTAACGCATCGGAACCACCTTGGTGGTACTTAACAACAGCAGTACTATTTCTAATAAGCTGCTTGTCTTAAAGCCTACTGTGTTAATTATTAGTAAACATTGTATTACTGTCTTCATATCCGCTTTAGCTGTCTAGTGCATCTGTGGTTCCCTGTCCTTAATGTTGAGTCTTTGTTTTAGTTAGGTTACATAGCCATATTTTATTAGCTAACAGTCTTTGTCCTTTAACTGGAGAATTTAACCAATTTACATTTATTCTGTGTACTAATATAGGATCCTGCTGTGGCACTGTAGGATAAGCACTGGACTGCTTGGCCATTCAAACCCACAAGCTGTTGTTGTTAAGTGTCCACAATGACCCTATGTAGGGTTTCCAAGGAGTGACTAACTGGTAAACTTGAACCGCTGAACTTGTGGTTCAAACCGACTTTGCAGTCCAACGCATTAACCCACAGCACCACACCTTGGAAACCCTATACAGGGTTGCTATGGGTTGGAACCGATTCGATGGCTCTTAACAACAACAATATACTTGTTGGGTTTTTTTGCTGTGTACCCTGCTTTTGCTTCTTTTCTCATTCTGTTCCCCTGCAGACTAGAAGTTATGTTCTGCATATATCAGCTCTGTCTGTGCTTGCCCTAAATATGTCACCAACACACTCAGTGAAGTGATCTGTGCTCTGCTCCTCCACACAGTGACAGGGCTGGAGATGCATTCGCTCTAGTCAGCAGTATGCATTGTCTGTTTTCCTGGGGTGGTTGCTGTGGGAGAAAGTACTAGACCACAAACAAGGTCGGTGGTTCAAACTCACTAGCCACCCCTTGGAAACCCTTTACAGGGTTGCTATGAGTCAGAGCCAACTCCACGGCACTTAACAACAACAACGTACTTTTGGTAAAAAATCTACGAATTAGACATCATTGTTTTTGTTTGCACAGCGGCTTTGTTGAGCATTCTCCTTGCAGAACTGGTTAGTGTAGCTGCTGTTGGAAAGCAATGGACAGTGCTTTGCTCTACGGAGTCCCTGGTGGGCTGCATTTACACTGGATGTACCTCATTCTGTTACTTCTCAAAAGACCCTTATAAGGGGGCTTCAAAAAGACAAATTCCAGTATCTTTTAGTTCCTTTTGAAGCCCAAGCTCCCTCGTACTTGATTTTCACCAGCAAAGGGTCCTGTCATCTGGTAAGGGGACATACGTTACTCGCTGTTTGCAGTGGTATCTTCTGGGAGTTTGGGGGAATTACCAGAATGCTCTGGCCCTTGATGGACATTTGTCCTCAGAAGGACTTACTCCCGCTGGCACGTGCGAGGCTGACCTTGGACTCTCTGGCCCCTGCACACACAACATCAGATTGTCAAGGCAGGGGACTCTGCTTGTCTTTTCATCTAAATGGAAAACTGCTGTTTGCAAGAGGGAGACTTAAGGATTGACTGAATGAAATAAAAGTTCATTTATATAATTAAAAACACACAAATGTAATATAAAGCTTTCTCATCTAGGGTTAGAGATTGGTGTGGGAACTGCACAAGTCTGTCCCCAGGATCCGTGGCCGCTACATCCCTGGGCACCAGAGTCAAAGATGGACACAGGAGAGACTGCTTGACACATGATTTTATCAGAGCACACTCAGGTTTCCAGTAAAGGCAAAAAGCATCAGCGGCAGAGTCCCAGCATCATGAACCTCCACATGTGCTGCCACCCCAGCGTCCAGCTCCATCCTCCTCAGGAGCAGGACACCGTGGTCCATATGTGCCGGCGAAATGGCCCGAAAGCTCCAGCTTCCAGGCTTTTCTCAGGGTCTGGGCTGCAGAAGAAACACAAAAGGAGGGGCCACTCAGGACTACCACAGACATCGGTGTTCCTGACAGGAAGCCCCCCATCTGAGGCCACAGCTTCAAGGGATCTGTCCACACTCATGTATGTATGCTTGACAATAAGTAAATTAACAACTCTTTGCCCACAAATTTGATAATTTAGATGAACCAGTTCCTTGAATGACTAACGTACCAAAACTTACATAAGAAACAGAGCATTTCACTGAAAGAGTAAAAAGGGAACCCACAGAATGGGAAAAAATCTTTTGCAATGACACATCAAACAAGGGATTCATTTCGAAAATACATAGGAAACTACACCTCTAAGGAGCTCTGGTAGCGTAGTGGTTACGAATCGGGCTGCAAATCGGTCAGCAGTTCGAAACTACCAGCTGTTCCACGGGAGACAGATGAGGCTTTCTGCTCCCGTAAAGATTTACAGCCTTGGAAACCCTGTACAGGGTCGCTATGAGTCAGAACCGACTCCACGGCACATAACAACAGCAACAAACAACACCTCTACAAGAAAAAGACAAATAACCCAATTTAAAAATGGGCACAGGACATGAACAGACACTTCACCAAGGAAGAGATCAGGGCAGCCAACAAACAT